AATTAGTCTAGACCTAGCCAAGAAACTGGGGGTAAAGCACCTAGAAGCATATGGCTACTCGAAGCTCATCATCAATCAGCTTAAAGGGGAGTTTGAAGTCAGACATGAAGATCTGGTCCCTTACAACGAAGCGACCATCACATTGGCTAATTCTTTTGAAGGCTTATATATTGATCATGTGTCCCGTCTCGAGAATACATATGTCGATGCCCTGGCATCACTCGCAGCTACACTAGCTCTACCCGAAGGAACTACTCAGTGAATCACTGTAGGTAGTAGACAACTTTTCCGACCGAAATATGCATTCCAAGTCAACACGGTCCTCCGTTGGTTTCTTCATAGCTGCTTGCAGCTATTTATAGCCCTCTAGCGCGTAACAGACATGCTGATCATGGGGTTGAGAAGCGTAACTGACTCCTTGAATTTAGCCCACATGGACTGACTGGGTCTTCAAGGCCATTAGAATCGAGCTTCACTTGGTGAGACGAGCCTCGCTGTGTGGTGAGATTCGTTAGATGAGAAGAGCCTCAATGCGCAGTGAGGTTCGTCTGACAAAGAGAGCTTCGCTATATGGTGAGCTTCGTCTTTGATGGTCGAGTCCAGCTGCGTCTTCTTCTCTAACAACAAGAAACTATCAAGCTCATAAGGGAGACGATAGACAAACTCCTCAAGAAAAGGGAGAAGAAGAAAAAAAAAGTGTCGGTGAAGCTTCAGGATCAAGATATCGACGACCTTCACCCGAAGCTGGGAAATCTAGCCGTCGAAATCGAGAGGACGCCGATACAAGGGATGATGATGAAGAAATTCTAAGAGTTTATTCTGAATCATCAGAAGCCGAATCCAACCCTCGTAAGAAAGAGCGAGATCAGAAGTTGAATGACTTCCAGAAGTAACTAGATGCATTGAAGCTTTAGGAAAACTTCAAGGAATTGGGGGTGGCTAGACATACCCCGCCGAATGGGATATTGTTCCCTATCCTCCGAAGTTCAAGCCACTCAACCTCCTATAATTCGATGGTCAGGGCTCTCCTACCCAGTATATCTACTACTTTCAGACGCAAACTGGGCACATAGTGGGAAATAATCCCATTATGACTCAACTGTTCATTAGTACCCTCAAAGGGGTCGCTTTTGAATGGTTCCGCAGATTGAAGCTTGGGTCCATTAATTGTTAGAAGGACATGGAAATACTTTTCATGGCCAGATCCTTCAATGATGACATAAAAGTATCTATGGCCACTCTACTAGCTGAAAAGTAGAAGAAGAGAGAGTCTGTCAGTGACTTTGTCAAGAGATTCAGGAACCAATCAGTGCATTCTCGTGATTAAGTCTCGAAAGCCACCCTTATCGAGATGTGTCGGAACAATCTTTCCATCAATATACTATCCAAAATAGGCGTTGTCAAGGCATGTTCATGGAAATACTTGATCTGACAAGGAGAGCAAGTTGAGAGCATGCTCAAAAGGATAGATGCTGAAGAGCGCGCGAGTCTTGTCCTAGAAGAGGGGGTAACCAACGCGACTTCACCCCTCAGAACCATTCAAAGGGGAAGGATACTCTGGTAGTTGAAACCACTTCCTCTCCTAAACCCTCGTCGAAGCAGAAGGGTAATTCTTCAGATAACCGTTTCCAGAAGCAGTACGACTTTAAAGATGAGAAAGCCGTCCCAATCCTCAAGTCCCTGATCAAAATGAAGAAAATTAAGCTGCCAGAATCGAAGCGACTTGAGGAGGCTTTAATGACAGATGATCCTAATTACTGCGTGTATCACAAAATGGTGCATCATCCGACAAAAGCGTGTTACATCCTGAAGAACAAAATCGAAGCTTTGTTGGATGCAAGCGTCATGACCCTTCAATCTGAACAAAAGAATGTATCTGCCAACATTGTCGCAGCTCTACTCCATCAACAGAAATTCAGGTTTCAAGTCTGTTGATCCTCACTGTTGCCCCTATTGTTGCCGCTATAACCACAATATTTACTCCACCGTTGGTCTCCACACAAGCAACGGCTTCATCTGCTAGTCAGCTTGAGATGGTTTCTTCCAGTGCTGCACCATCTTCCTCCTTTACTCGAGGGAAAGATTACGGGGTGTCGGAGATTTCGGAAAACTTTCTCTATTTTGAAGGATTTCCCCTCTCGGGTATTGGATCACGGTGATGATTTTGCCAGGATCAAGGTGGTGATGGAAGCTCTTTTAAACTTGATGCAGAGATTGACCAGCGATGCAGCTGTGATGCCATACAGACTTATCATAACAAAGGTGGAGGACCTCCTCAGAAGATGGTAGGATCGTCATGATCGACCTCTTCTCCCTCTTGCCGAAGAACGAGCCAGGCAATATTTCAGGCAGAGGGACAACTCCGCCTTAGCACTTCGACGTTAAGTGATTGAAAAGAAGAAAAGAGTCGAAGAGCTCGAAGGGATCGGCGAGAAGTTTTCCAGCGAGCGCCAAAAGGCCACTTACACCAAGCAAAACACTCAGGTTCTGATCGAATCTTATAAGGCTGCTCTTGCTGAGATCCAAGTCAAGCTGGCGACAGCTGAAAATGACTTAAAGGCGGCTGTAGAGGTGCAACAAACACTTGCAGCCAAACAGGAAGAACAGGGGCGTCGCTTTAGGATGAGCTTAATGAGTTGGAACGGTTACGATGACATCTTCTGATGAGGATCTGCGTAAGAAGGCATTGGAAGAAGTTGAATAGGAGCATCGAAGATCATTGGACGAACTCGCAGAAGAACTTCGTAACGCCGTCCGATTTTCCTGAGCTCAATTTATGTAATCCACCTCTTGTTGCAGCAGCTTCAACTCTTTTATGAATAAAATTGTCACTTTATCCACCATTTTTTTTAGTGTCGAGGTTCTGATGAGGTCCGTCTATTTTGCTTATTGAGCGTCGACGCTTTGAGGCTTTGAGACTCATCTTAGACGAGCCTCGACGCTTTGAGGCTTTGAGATTCATCTTAGACGAGCCTCGACGCTTTGAGGCATTGAGACTTATCTTAGACGAGCCTTCACTGACGAGCTTTGTTTCCTGAAGGAGCTTCGTCTCCTGAAGAATAAGGCATTAAGAGCCTCGTCTCTAGGCGAACTTCGTCTTCAATGACGAACTTCGTTTCTTTTCTGGGCGAACTTCGTCTCAAATGACGAACTTCGAATTCTGAGGAACGATGCACTGTGAGTCTCATCTGGCTGAGACAAACTTCATTGATTGAGCTAAGGTTCATCGTTGTGACGATGCTCGTCGCGTTTGTAGTGAGGTTCGACCATCCCTTGTTTCTTGGCATTTTTAGTGCCTACAACGTCAAGAACGACTCATAGGGTACGAGCGTCGATGGGTCCGAGGGCCCACCAGGGACACTCAAGTCGTGCACATGACGTAGCCAGATGTTTACAGCAGGCTCAAGCTAGATGTTCAAAGCAGGTTCAAGTCGATGAGGATGTCATGCCCTCACAAGTTCACACACAACTGGACGATGGGATCATCCAAGCTCATGTTGAAGGAGAACAGAGAAGGGGGAGAGGAAGAGTGAGAGGGAGAGCGAGAGAAACGAGAGTTCTAAATATTTGCTAAATTTCGATATTGTTTGTTTTATGATGTTTACGTTTGAAATACTAGTTGGACTATATGTTTATGATTAGGTTTTTTTATGTTATGTTTTTGTTTGAAGTTGGTTATAGATGTAATATAGATATATAGATATGTGCTTATTTATGATTGAAATTAATTATGAATTGATATATGTGTAGCAAGAGAGTTTGTGTTAAACCTGACAATTTTAGAGGAGGATTGATATATGTGTAGCAGGACAGGAGATTTTCCAACAATTCAATTTTTTTAAAACGACCCAATTTCTGGTCACGATGCTGACGTGACCAGAAAGTTGGTCGATTTTTGTAATAAACCTTGAAATGGGTTGATTCTTGGGCAAAAATTGGAAAATCTCATTCCTTGTAAAAATTGAAATGGGTTGATTTTTGTAATAAACCTTGAAATGGGTTGATTCTTGAAAATCTCCTTCCCTGTAATACACCTTGAAATGGGTTGATTTTTGTATAGATATTTTTATTATTTTCAAATTTTCTTCGCATAAAAAAGGTGGATACTTCCTTGTAAACTGTGAAGAGAAAATTAACTCAGTACCACTGTTATAGTATAGTTAGCACATACTGAAACAATTCGTCGTACAGATTAAAAGAAATTTTTATAATAAAAATATTTTACCTCTTTTATCCCCAAGAGATCTATTTGCCAATATTTGCCAAATTTCTCTCAAGCGATCCATTTGCAAGAATAGAACCCACAAGGGGTCCGTCTGCAATTGGGTAATAGTCTCGGGGTCTGCTCACAATTCACCTTAAAAAAACAAAAACAAAAACAAAAATAAAAATAAAAATAAAAATAAAAATAAAAATAAAAATAAAAATAAAAACAAAAACGAAAAACAAGAGGGAACAACCCAATCTGCTCGGAAACCGCTGATAACATAGGGTCCAGGGTAACTATTATACTTCCTTGTAAACTGTGAAGAGAAAATTAACTCAGTACCACTGTTATAGTATAGTTAGCACATACTGAAACAATTCGTCGTACAGATTAAAAGAAATTTTTATAATAAAAATATTTTACCTCTTTTATCCCCAAGAGATCTATTTGCCAATATTTGCCAAATTTCTCTCAAGCGATCCATTTGCAAGAATAGAACCCACAAGGGGTCCGTCTGCAATTGGGTAATAGTCTCGGGGTCTGCTCACAATTCACCTTAAAAAAACAAAAACAAAAACAAAAATAAAAATAAAAATAAAAATAAAAATAAAAATAAAAATAAAAATAAAAACAAAAACGAAAAACAAGAGGGAACAACCCAATCTGCTCGGAAACCGCTGATAACATAGGGTCCAGGGTAACTATTGCAGCAGTAACCGATACCAATTTGATTGAAAATGGCACAAGTAATGACAACGCAGACAAATTTGCAAAAGTCGCGAGACAGTGAGCAATTCACTAAATCTGAGCTTTGCATATCATATATTAGTTTCTCGGCAGCTCATAGAGCAAACTGTACAAACTTACAAAGGGAATGAGCAACGCTACTTCTGAGTATTGATTAAGAACATACAACTTTACAACAATAGATTCAACCTGCTCATCAATTCTACAAACTACACGCATCTTTTACAAGGGCAGATTATGTTAAAAGACTATCCTATCCTGTAAGTCATACCGCACGTTACCTGCTCACAGAGATACCGAACAAACTAATGAATGCTGTGCAAAACTCAGAACCAAGGGTGCCAAGTAGGATCCATCATGCACAAGTTTCTTGGCGACAGAGCTGCTTCCACTAGATCGGTGACTCCTCTTTGTACAGACTGCGGGGGATCTGTTGTATTTTCCTCCTGAACAATGAAAGATCATGAAGATTCAGAAGTCTTTTTAAAGCTACTAGCAAGGAAACCAAATCTACATTGGGACAACCTAGTAGGTCACATGGCAAAGCTATGTCGCTACCTCGTGGGGGCCTGGGTTCGATTCCCGTAAACGTCAAAGACAATTACACTTTTTGTTATATTAGATCCCCAAACCCTTGTTAATTCGAAATTAGATCTTCGAATCTTCATATATCTAAATTGGACCCCTCAAATCTTCATATTTGTTTGAAACAAGGGCCTTATAAAGGTATTATTTGAAACAATTTAATAGATTTGGGGGGTCTTATTTATAACAACTTAATTGATTTGGGATCTAATTTAGAAATATGAAGATTTTGTCATCTAACATAGAATTAACAAAGATTTGGGGTTCCAGTATAACAAGACCTCTAACAATTAACTTCCAGGAACATGAAGCAATGTCAATAAACTTCAGTGGTATTACTTCAGTAACCGATCACTTGTCCATTCACATGGGCAACTTTTTAACATTTCCCTTCACGTTTTGGCATCTAAAATATAACTTTAGCTGATAGTAACAAGGGTCTGAATTGTGATAAAGCAATGTATTCAACGCGTGAATATTGTACCTCTTCAGAAAAGTACTGGGGAGCTATTCCTTTGACACGACTGATTACATGATCCACATTAGTCGTCACCTTCTGCTCGAAGTCCAATTGGTTGATACCAGCTGTGGGAATTTGTGGAGAAGGTACCCCAAGCGGTCTTCTCCATGACCATGAAAGCAACTCGTCACGGAAAAACAAGGCCAACTGATGCCATAAGTGCTGTGTTTGCTAAAAGACATCAAAAATTGTTATTTAACCTCATATTGTAGGTACATGCTAAGCAAGAAAAATAACAAAAGCTCAAACCACATGACATCGTATCTCCATAAAACTTGTGTATAATTGATATTTCCTATTCATAATAAAGCTTGCACGAAAAAATACCACAAAGGATATGTCTCGTACCAAAATAACATATTTTCTCTACATGCTCACATTAAATGTAGGAAATATTTTAGCAGTTGAAACGGTTCTAAAAGAAGTTTCCTCCAGTAACTACAAAAGGATTATTAGGAAATAATGTACAATAAATGACGCAAAAGTTTATGAGTTCAATACACAAAAATTCAGTACCTCCAACATGTCAGATAGAACTGTGAAGTACAAAATAACTAGTAGGATTTCCAGAAGTAAATAAGCAGAGACAGTGAAAGACGAGAATTTACAAAGTCATACTACCAAAATAGAATATGTTCAAGTCTCATCTTAACAGTTTCAGTGTAACCACTTACTTTTGGTGTAACCACAGACTGTGCCGCGGCGCACATAGCAGATACAATAAGACCTTCCACACCAAAATGGGAGAAAAATGCCTGCATATTTCGTGTTAGCCTAAAGGGAACTGGTTCATTAAACTCGATCATTCCATTTGCATCATAAGCTGCACAGGCAAGTAAAATAAAATATGGTCAACATAACAAAAACCTTAGAATGCACCGCGAGGGACCATAAATGACAAAAATCTTATTACCTGGATGGAAATCAGTTTGGAATATCTTGCCACTGTTTTTGGCAAACAAAATCTTATTTGGGGACCGCCCCCCAATCTGCAGCATGTATGACATGAAACAGGAAAGTGCTAGCTGGATGGCAAATTGCTTCCTAAAGGCCCAAAGATGATTACCACTTGGCAGAGTCTTGTACATGTATTGGGAGAAGATGTTATCATTAACGACATTCTTGGTAATCTCATTATAGGCCTGAAGCCGGAGTTCTCCAACAGCCTCTGGTGAGATCTGCCCCGAGATAGCTTGATTAAGATGTTCCTTGAAAAGGGTTATTGGCATATCTGATTCTCGATTGTGCCTCGCACTGTTGATTTCATAGACCTCAAGGAATGAGCTATACATAAGGTCATCCTCCACCATTCTTACCTGAATATAAACGGACATTACCAGAGGAAGACAGCAATGAAAAAATGACACCAATATAAGGAAAGTTCTCCGTATGAACGAAAAGAGGCGATGAATGTAAGAAAGGGAAGATGAGGGGCTGTTACCTGTGACCACACAGGTATGATTATTGGGGTATTAATAGTTAGATGGCGGCGCCTCGATTCCTTGTGCTTATCAAACATTTTGTTCAACACCCGGAACAGTTGAAGTATGCGTTCATCGCTTCTGGCATTTGGAGTTAGTGATGTCTGCACGATGAAATGTCGTTGGGACCCATCAGAACCTATAAGTGTCAGACGCCGGAAACTACTTCCATGCCTCCTCACTATTGGAATATCAGCGCCTATTCTATCTAACTTCACGGTATGATCAGGTGCAACTTCCTGCAAGGAATACCAAACATATAGCAACCATGCAATTGCCATTAAAAAATAAGCAGCTCTAAAGGAAATCACAATTTGCAACAAAAAAAAAGGAATCTGCAGGGACATTATGAACTTTGATCATAAGCTAACCTGATCGGTGAAGTACTGCCCTGGAAGTTCCACGTCAACAACATGAAAATCACGCAATACTTTACTCTCTTCTTCAAGCTTTAAGACAGCAGGAAACCTGTCTTCAAGATTGCTCTGAAGGACATTTTTCCAATGCTTTAGCCGTTCTGTCAGTTCAGCAAGGGAGGCAGGAAATGTTGTTGTGCTCTCCGGATCAAGATCGCGCTCAAACTCATGTTTATATTCTTTCACAAAATCAACATGCTTGTTCACAGCATCTGCTGAAAAGCAAGCTCTGCAAACACCAGACAGCTCCTTTTTCAGAGACTGGGGGACTTCAGCAGTAGTGGTTGTTGGATACTTATAGCAACGATGGAGGAGTGCATTAACCACTGCTAGAAGACGTTCCTCCGGAAGAGTTACAAATCTTGAACCTATTTCAGATAGTAGAGCCTGAAATAGTTCGACATACCATTAGAAAGGAACATCCTAAGGTTCAAGGTTACATTTTATAACCAGAATAAAAAAAAGAAATAATCAACTTATGTAGTATGTGCACTGATTTATTTGTAATTCTTAAAATCGAATTACGCAGGAATGGAGGACTTGGATAATATATGAAATTCTAATACAACCAAGTTCTTCAATGCACAAAAATGCCAGTGGCAACCAAATGAAAAGGGCAGAGGACAATACTGCTAAACACTAGCAAGAAGAAACATGTTGATATCAATGTAATTTGAAGTTTCTTCTACCAAAATACAGATTTAAGTAAGAATTACATATACTCTTCTCTACTTGACAGGTCAGGAAAAACAAGAACTAGAACCCTAGCTATCCTAGTAATGGGCATAGTGATTCCAGTAAGCTTGTTGATAAAGGTAATGCTATGATGATGTACTCACAAGCATTGCGAACCTTTTGGGCCTAGCTGTTGTAACTACCTGTATCTCATATCTTCCAAGCTCAAATCGCATAAGTATACTATTAGCCTGGGAACTTTCAACCGCATGTACTTGACAGTTTAGCATATCTAGGAAACTTTCGATTTATCAGAAACCATGCCTTCAACATATGCCATTTTCTGTATGAGAAGTTGATAAATTCAACGGAGGACTTC